AAAAATTAAATGTGCTGTTTTCAGTCCTGCTAAAAGAAGCTAATTACCTGGCACCTCTTGTTTTATTGTGCTGTAACTTTTGGCAAGACAGCAGATAAGCTTCTTGCCAAAGTGATACCAAAATGATGCTTCTCCAAATGCCAAGCGGTCTCTTTAAAGGATTGTGGCTCATCTGATGCTTACACGAGCAACATGCTCAGTCCTCATCTTTCATGTGAGAGATATGTCTCAGTAGGCTGCCATGTTCTTCAGTGCTTTTAAAGGCCGCCGTGTTCACACGCATTTCCCCATTACAGCACGGCCAGAGGCACATGGCAGCACAGTGGCTGCAGGCGTTGGCTTTTGAGCTAAGCCCAGAACTAGTGCAGTAGGTGTGTGTGTGTGTGGGTGTATGTGAGGGGGGTGTTTGGATTAGTGGACTTGGACCGGGTAAAAGATGAGGTGATGCAGGCTGTGGCTGCGAGCACATGGATTCATTGTGCTTGTATGATAATGCCTGCATAATAAAACAGTGACAGCACAGGTTGATTCTGGTATGGATAATATGGAGCTGGCTGCGTGTGTGTGTGTGTGTGTGTGTGTGTGAGACTCCCTCTTTCACATGAAGGAGGGAGATGAGGAGGCGCAGGGGAAGGGAGGGACTGTAAGGGAGAGAATGGGGGTGTAAAGAGAAAGCTATAGTGGGGGAGGCTGGAGAGAGACAGCAAGGCGGCTGAGAGGCGAGGGCCGGTGCAGTGCAGAGCTGGAACGGACACCCAGAGCTCAGCCTTCCGCGGGTTGCCATGGAAACCACATTCCTCCCCCGCCTGCATCCCTACAGACTGCTCTGACTCTCTTTCTCTCTATATCTATCTCTCCCCTCGCTCTTCTCTATGTTTTATCCCGTCTTTTTCATTCCTCTTTTAATTTGCGTCTTTGTTTTCTTTCTCCTCTCTCCCTCCATCTCGCTCTCTTCTGCTGTCACGCCGTACATGCTTTGAGCACATTCGTGATGATGCACACTCAGCAAGCACAGTGATTTCAGAAGCGTTGCACTCTGTGGCAAGGTGGATGGGTAATTACACAGTTTATTTTGCATTCCCATGCACTCACGGATGCATAAGCACTTTGTTGTTTTCTCAGCATCTCTCTGTTTTTCTTCTCTCTATTTTTACTTCCCCTTCTGTTCAGCACCATGCTTCAGTAATGCCCCCTCTAGTCATCGCATTTCTGCCCACACACAGGGCACCTTAGCTCGGTTTCTCCTCTGTTACGGCATCTGCAGTGGACCTCAACCACCTTCATCACATTTTATCAGCTACTTTCACCTGATCCTATAACCTCCTACTTGAACCAACCCCCCCTTTTCTTATTGCTCTTTTTCCTGCCTCTTCTTTATGCGTGTACGAAATCTGCATAAACACTGTTCCTTATCCTTGCAGCTCTGATAAAATCTCTCACACTCCTCTTTTCCTGTCTCCTTCATTTATCTCCATGTGTATGCTTCTCTCTCTCATTATTCCATCAGTTGGAGTTTCATGTGTGTGGTGGAGCAGCTGTTCTCTGCCACTAAGGCCTATTAATAGGAGTCTTAGGCATGTAGCCTCAGTTTTCTGCTTCTGAAATGCTGGGAGAGCATTGTGGCGAATCTAAATGATCTCACTCATTTGAATTAGACTGACTGACTTGCTGTCTTCTCATCCTGTGCGAATTACTTGCCTCCCATCAACACATCACCTGTCAGTGAAATATATATCTCACATATTCTTCTATAATCTGGGAATTCCTTTCAGTGGATGTAATGATACCCTAGAGACTTGTTTCTTCATCCCCTATTACAGTTGGTTAAGGCTACAGTACAAGATCTTATTATGTGTTGATTGGGAGCTGCCTCTTTAAGACTGCCTCACTACCGATTGTCCTTTTATGGTGCTAAATCCGGTCAGGTGACGAAGGAGCAGTTACACAGCTTCTCTGAGAAATGCCTAGAAATGACTGAAAAGTTCAATAGATGGTCCGTGCAGTGGCTGGGAGGGGGGGTTGTAATGCTCGTTATGATAGCGTGTGTTTGTTACAGGGTGTCCAGGTGGGTTCATGTAATAAGAGAGCTGTGAAGGCTGCTGCTGAGCTGATTGTGTCGGGGGTGCCGAAAGCTGAAATGAAGCATCTCTGTTCAAAAAGCAAATTATGTGCTCCTCCCGTGTGTCATAACTCAAGCAGAGGGTCAGAGGTCGCAGTCTTAGTTTTAGCCATAAATCACCTAATGCTGTTTGCCTGAACACAATATTAACAAGGATTTTCTTACACACTCTGGACACATTTAATTCAGTTCAATTCAATTTTATTTATATAGCACCAGTTCACAGCAACAGTTGCCTCAAGGGGCTTTATATTGTAAGGTAAAGAATAAGCAAGCACTTGGCAACAGTGGGAAGGAAAAACTCCCGTTTAACAGGAAGAAACCTCCGGCAGAACCAGGCTGAGGGAGGCGAGGCCATCTTCTGCAAACATACTCTTTGCAAAAGCTGCATTTAATCCAGGGCAATGGTATTTGATTACACTATATTCACTAATGTGTCCGTTATCCTCCATTTATAAACTTTAAACAATCAGTACAGACAGTGCTTTATCCATCAAGACATTTCTTGCCCAGTACAATTTAATTCATGCAAAATCATTTTCCTGTATTAATTCTGTATTCTGTACTGAACTGTACAGAAAAGCAGCTCTTAAATTGTATTTCCCATCTATAATATGGAACTGAAACAGTTTCCTTTTCTTTGAGGTACTAAGATTTGTCTGCATATGTGAACTGGTCACACCTGTTCATGTGTTTGTATGTGGACGATTACCAATCTGTGGTTATTCTTTTCTTGTCCTGCCCATACCTACCTTTATATATGTATGTATAAAGGTAGCTTCTTACTGCACACCCCATGATTGCACTGACTGGTAAATCCAGTGTGGACAGTTTATAAGAGACAGGAGAAAGGGGCTTTAGGAAAGGATGCTTGCAACATGTGATCTGTCATGTGTGGTGTGATCGATATGCTTACATTGGTCTTCCAGGCTGCTGCTTCAAAGCCCCGCCTCGCCGCTCTAATTCAATTCAGCGGCATATGTGGCTGCACATCCTACGATGTAACTCATACAGTGGTTTCCAGCATCTGTTTAAAAATGCCTCTTTTTGCTCTTTGCTTGAAAATGAAAATCTCTGCAGGTTAGAGTGAGAGGATATCATTATAATGAAGTGAGTTACTCTTGCATGTAATTAAGTGAGCCTGAGCCTGCTGTGTGTGCCTCCTGGTAGGGCTGCAACACAATCCAGTTTGCCCTCAAAGTCCTGCTCAGTTTAACGGGAAGGTTGCACGGATAGGCATTTATATATGTCAGATTTTCAATATGGCAATATTGAGGCTTCTTGCTTTAATGTATATGCACTGTAACATGCAGACTATGTATAAATATACCCTCTCCCCCATGCAGACACACCCAGCTCTGTTCCCCGTCACATTTCATTAATAATGCATGTATACAGGGCTTTAATGGCGACACTGTAACATTCCCTCTCAGTTCACTAAAAAAACCCTTCACCCTCAGTGTCAGGATGTTTTGTATCTAGCTGTGATCAGTCCACGAGTTCACAAGCATTTAAAATGGCTCACAAGCAGTCCTATCGCATTACTGAAAATATAACTGCCACAGATACATGAAAGCCATATAGTGGGGTTTTTTTCCGCTCACACATTCTCACTCTCAATCTCTTCCTCCACCCACTTGAAAGCCCGAGCGTGTAATCGTGTTGGTTTCGTACACATGTGTTGATGTCATCATTGTGAACATGAAATAATTCCCCTATGGTTCTTATACGAGGCATCAGGAGTGCACTTTTTCCCTCGCCGTGCTTATTTTTGACCCAGTCCTGCACACGCGCAGGACTTGCCATTAAAATAATGCAACAGCGGTGCCGCTTTGAAACGAAAGAACGCTTTAAAGTAATGCAGCGTGATTCGAATGCATCCTCTGCTGAGAGCCATGATATTGAGGAGAAAAGGGATTTTCATCTCCTGCACCTACTTCCACTGCAAGAGTATTTACAGATGTGTACTGTGACACAGAGCCTGAGGTTGACAATTACTAGCACAAGAAAGCTGTTCAGGCTGCAGCTGAACTAAGGATGACCGTGGAGATGACCAGTGATCAGAATGACAGGGGTGCTCATTGCAAGTTGGATTTCAGCTGCATTGGTCTGATGAAAACATGGATTAGACTCAGAATTTGCGGATCAGAGGCTGAGTACTGCATTGGCAGATTGCAGACTATGACTTCCTGACCTTTTTCTCTTTAAAATATTAAGAGGAAAAAAAACACACACAATGTTTTATTGTGTTTTGATTAGCGAAGAAGTGCCTTTTCACTCAAGGCAGGAAGCAGCGAGATTTGGGTGCTGCGGTCCCTTTAAGAGCAGCTACTGAAGCGCTCAGTCCTGTTGGTGCTGCTGCTGCTGCTGATGGCGGCGCTGCAAGTTGATTGGCTGTGGCTGTCAGGGCTGAGGTGCTAGAGGGATGCTGCTACATATCTCCCCCTCCCCACCCCCTCCGTCCCTTCCTGCTTCCCTCTCTCTCTTTCTCTCTTGCTCTATATCTCTCTCTCACTATCTCGCTCTTGCTAGCTCACATCCCTCTGAATAATCCACATCTAGGGCAAGCTGGCTGAGAGGCAATCCAGTGCTCAGCTCCTCTCTGCAGGCTGAGAAAAGAGACAGAGAGCGAAAGACAACGATTTTCAACGCAGGAGGAAAAAAAAAGCCGTGAGATTTTGACAAGAACAGGAAGATACCAAGAATTAACTGAAGATTTTCATCTGCGGATATCATTTATTTATACATATTGTTTATATATCTATATATATATATTTGTACACACGCATATAGATATTTATATATATATACATTTATCCTTGTACATATCTGTATCTGTGCTTGTCTGTTTATATTAATATTTTTATATGTATTTGTGTGTGTAAATATATATGATATATAAACAAAAAATATCTATATATCTATGAATTTATATGCGTATCACTGTGAACCAAGAGAAGCAAGAGGAAATTTCTATCATCAGGGCTGGTCTCTGATTGTGTGGCGGTATACAATATTTTAAATATTTCCTTTGATCTTCAACGTCAAGAGGACAAAGACTACGTGCCCATTTTGTATTTTTGTTTTCCTGTCGCTGCTTCCCATCCCTCTCAGTCCGTTTTTTTTTTTCTGCGTCCGGAAGGAATAAACTGGAGAGTGACAGGATTTGACGAAAAGGGAAAATCTGTAGAAATTCCTGTGATTAGTGTTATTTCCATCGGCATTAGCGCTCTGTGAGCCGATCACAGCGTGCTGTGTGAGATCTGAGGAGGCAGCAGAGACAGAGTGCCACGCCGCTCATCTCAGCGTCAGCCCAGCCAGCACAGCCAGCATGCACAAACACCACCACTGCTGCAAGTGCCCAGAATGTTATGAGGTGACCCGTATGGCTGCCCTGCGTAGGATGGACGCCCCGTCGTATGGAGGAGACTGGCAGGCCGAGCCCTATGGATACCCACCTGGGTATGGTGGAGGCCAGACCTTACCCCCTCCAGCCTCAGGGGGAGGTGGAAGCATGGGAGGAGGAGGGGGCACTTTAGGGAGAAGTAAGGGCAAGGTTATGTCTGGTGGGGGCCCTGGAGGCCCCAACCCAAAGGGCCAATCCAAGGGTGGCCCCAAAGTAAATGGCAACAACTCCAGTGGACAAGGAGGATGGTGGCCCGAGTGCACCTGCACCAACCGGGAGTGGTATGACCAGGTAACTCCTCTTCCTCACTCTGTTACATAGCTCAGGCTCGTGGGACCTGACGAGGGAGATCAGAGGGGCTGTTGCCATAGTAAAACAGAAATGATCATGTGCCAGCTGAAGCTGTCGGTTTAAGGAAGAAAATTCAGATTTAATATTCTTCTCAAGCCCTCTCTTTCCTAATTGTCGCTTGTGTATTTCGCATTGTAGAGCAGAATAGAGCTGATCTAGCTTCACGGCACATGCATGTAGATGATCTTCATTTTTGGATTGGGCGCAGATGACTAATGCTTATAGGTTTAACACACCAAGTGTGTGTGTCGTCAAAGGCTTATGCTGATGCAGTTACCACAGGCCAAAGAAATGGTGCATTTTCATTCATGGAAGCAGCACCGAGAGGCAGTTTGCAATTATTGTGAATTAGCCCTCTAGTCGGTAACCCTGACATTACAAGCTGACTCAAAGAAATTAGATGTAAAAAACAGATTTTGTCTAATTAGCTTAGAGTGGAGGAAGGGATGATGAAATCCATCTCTGATGCCAGTCCCTGTATTTTTTGCAGGCCATTGTGCTTCAAAGCATCACAATAGACTGTGTTGTGTAATACAAACAGAGAATGAGACGCAATCTAAATGCTGCCTGTTTTATGTGTCGCACAGTGTGAATGAAACTGCCTCTTTACATGTGCACCATTTTGTGTCTGTTGCCTCCATTTATTTACATGTATTTGTAAATCACAGTTGATGGAAGGTCAGAATAGCTTCAGGAGCACAGTCTTTAATTAAGGAAGGTGCATGTATGTGAGCATGAGATTGAGCTTGGGTGGGGGAAGGGTTGCTCGGTGAGCATGAGATTCAAGGAATGGATCTTGCTGTGCATAAGTATGTGCCTGTGCAGTCCTGTGTTTGCGGCAAGTGAAGCCACTGCATTATTTGTATTTCACCCCCTGTTGTGTCTGAGCCTGGTTTTGGAAGAAGAATAGGAAGAAGTGAGGAAGGTGAGAAGAAAATGGAGGCTGAAATTTCAGCAGCACAGTGGAGAAAGCTCCTCCTGAGCTGAGCCCTCGTATGAGCTGCAACCTGGTTGATATTAGCAGATTACTACATGGAGGAGAGGCTTTAGCTTTGAGGAGGCGAAAAAAAGAAAATGGACATTCTCTCTGTCTTGTGCATGATCCATTTAAATCTATTCCATTACAGCCACATCCAGATCAGTCATGCGTATTTCATGTTTCACACATTTGAAAGCTCAAAGCAGATGTGATTATGTAAGCATTTATTCCTTACATGGAGAATTTTACTCTCCGTCAGTGTTACCCCCTGGTTTTCCAGCGTATTTGTTCAATATTCAACTTACAACAGGAGCAAATTAGCATCTGCTTGATGAAAAATCTCTTTCGACTGCATCGTGATTCATGTAGTGATCTTATCCTGTTGAAACAGCACCATTAATGGATAAACCCCTCAGTCGAATCCTGGCTTGTGCTATCCTTTCGAAGGATCCCTGCTCTCTCGTTCTGTCGTGTGAATACATACCAGCATAAAAACTCTGCAAAAAAGCGTATCCAACCCGGCATTCATGGCTTGAATATACGAGTGTCTACATTTCTTACATTTCTTCACTGGAATAAAAATAGCGGAATTGCGGATAATGAGTCAGGGAATAGGGCATGCAGCGGGGGTTAGTGGGGTAAAAATGCAAAGGTTAAAAAAGAGAGAAATAAGCCAATAAATGCAGGCAGCAGCCCTGAAGAAGGGGGAGGGGATTATGTAAGAGGAGGCAGTTGGTGGTGCTGTCAGAGAGAGAAGCAGGAGAGGCACTGACACTGTGGACAAGCATCTGTCCCTCCATCTCTTAAAACAGGCATGTGAATGGCCTACATATATGCGCTTCCCATCCCATGAACGAGCTATAGCACGGCATGGGTAGAAATGCACACCCACCATAACCCCCGCCCTCCTGGCCCTCCTCACCGTTGCTCATCCTAGCTAGGGAAAAGTGAACGTTCCCCCTCCCCCACTACCTATAACACAGCCAGAGAGAGCAGGGCAGTAACACACACGCCCAACATCCTTGTAGCTTATAGCTTTCATAACAACTCATGTTTTGGGCATGCTAGCATAAAAAGTAATAACCTTGCACAGTCATTGAGAATTGTATGAGCTGGCTTTTTATAGCTGGATCATTGACATTTTTAAATGGCTCCTGTAGCCATGAACATTTCATGCATATGTGAGGAAATTATCAGGCAACCCCACCTCTGTCATCTATTTAGGGAATGATTGTGTTGCTTTTGTCATGAGCTTGCTAGTTTAATTATGGATGATTTCTGCTGGGATTATAAGAACATTCTTTAAAACAAGAGCTTTTGAATTTAAATCTGAGAAAAATAGAGACCTCAGTCTACTGGGAGCATCAGTCAGAAAGCTCCTTCTTCCCCCTGCGGGCTTCAATCTGTCTTTGTGTGTTCTCCAACTCCGTGGCTATGATTAGCTTTAAATATTAATTGGATTTTACTTTATTTATTAGCATCAAGATTTAGTCCAGAACGCTTTGCCAGACCTGTTGTTTATAACATGTCTCTGTAGTGGTTGTGGCATTTTAAAAGAATGCACAGACGTGGTGGGCGTTCCATGCCAAACACTCCCATAGGTGATTACGACTTGGGAGCTTTCAGGCCTCAATCTGAAATTTGTGCATGTGTGCGTTCGTGCGTCTTTTTACAGTCGCATTGATTTATCGGTATCATTGGTTTCTACATCTGTCTGATGAGATTTTGTTCAGTCTGATTTGATTTGCCATTATTGTGACAGCAACCCAGAGAGCATTAACGGATGGGATTTGCGTGTGCTCCACGTCCAGAGGTCTTGAGCTGGATCCTCTAACTGTGATCTCGAAAGGCTTAGTCTAAGGCTTGGAATTTTCCTCATCAGATCAAGGAGGGGTTTATCTATGAGCTTGTCTAGGAAAAAGAAAAGCAGTGTGTAATCTGGATGAAACAGCATTCACTATGTCCATGTGTTTCCTTAGAAATTTGGTGTGAATGTTAATGCATGATGGATGGCATTTTTCATCATTGCACCTGCAGGAGTGCAAGTTGTGACGTTTTGCAATTAATAATTTAAACTATATATTTCATTAGAAATTAGTACAAAGGTAACATGAATTTCAAACTGCAACATTTTCTTTTATCTGTTTTTATTTTAAATGCAAACTTATTTTCAGTATGATGCAAGAAGCAAATTTATAAAGGTTGAGGTTGAGACAACTCTAGAAGGTGAATAATAGCAGTCTACAGAGCCATGTTGCTCTAGCATGTGATAACAATGTCTGACATTGTCTTGGTAAAATAAGGATGGCTGGATGGCAGCATTAGATGCTCTAATGCTGGTATATATTGTTCTTCATTAAAGGTGCCTTAAAGGATATGGAAACTACTCCAGCTTTTAGCCCTAATGCCCCCCATTACCAGTACTGATTTTTGAAATGTTTACTGATCAAAAGCATTCACTCTTTTCTCCATCATCCATCATCCACAAAACAAATTTCACATTTTAATTCAGCTTTTTTCTACTATTGGAAAAAGAATGCCATCCGTAAGAGAAAAAATTCAGGTACTTTTCTTAAAGTAATGGATTAATAACCTAAAATTTCAAGTTATTTTCTCAATTTCATATTATTATGTCTAATGCTTGAGTTATGTTGAGACCCCCAACTCAAAATTCTTATCTAATAACCTGAAATTTTAAGCAAATTTACATGTGAGTTTTGTCTTTTATTACCCATGATGCAGCTGTTTATAAATATGTTGCTGGTATCAAATTCAAACCAAAGATATGCATTTTTCAGAAAACAACAAAATTGATCATTTTTTATCTCTTATCATCTACTACTTTCAAATAAATATAGGGTTTAAATCTTTGAGAATCATTCTATTTTTATTTACACTTTACACAACGCCCCAAATCTTTTTGAAAAAGGTTTGCAGTAGAAGTAGTTTTGCATCTTTCTTGGTCTGATATCTGAGTCTGAAACACAGATTCCTAACCTAGCAAGAAAAAGTGCCATCATCAACTTTGGATGACTTCATTCAAGTCTGTATCTATTTTTTATTGTTTTCCAGGTTTTAACATTTGTGTTCTGTGTTTTATTCCAAGCTTTATTATGTTTTATAGTTTAAACCCTTATGAATCAGTATCATGTACCGATAAAACTATAAAAGCCCACTTATTTGCTTGTCTGCTGCCACCCTACAGTGTCAGTGCTTTTAGACATCGCTCTTTAGCGTCAGTGTTGAATTAACATTTCATCTGAAGACCTTTCGTTCCTAGCCTGTTCCTCCCTCTCTCCCACACTCACCCCAAGCAGCATTTTAAATTTAGTAGGAGGCAGAAACAGGCAGATATAGTGTACTGGTAATTACTCTCTGAAATCTTTCAATGTGTAGCTCAGGTCCTGTGTTCATTTTAACCTTGTGAAGCGTTTCGGAACCTGCTGTAAACAAGGGCTCAGTTTCGGTTGGTTTTTTGTTTTTTTCTAATGCGTTTGCTTTTCATTGTAACGTCACACAATTGGAGTCACAGCTTGCATTTTTCAGGAAAAAGTTTAGAGTTATCAGGATGTATGTGATCTGATCTTTATGTAAGTCTTAACTATGGACTAACGCGCTAAATGAAGAACGCTTACACAGTTTCTGTCTCGACTGTATCGAGTAATTACTTAAAGTCCAAGCTGGAAAAGTAAGTGAACCCAAAAGCTCAGCTGTTGAATGAGATGAGATTGGCGGTGTGGCTTAAAAGAATTGGGTTTTGGCTTAGCTACAACCTAAATTAGACAAATATTCACAGCCTAGAACATTTCTCATATGTTTTGGCACTACAGTTTTTTCTGATTTAAAAAAAAAACAAAAAACGAGTAGATGTCAACCAGAACCTAACCTAAACCCTGAGACTATTTGTTGCTATCGGTGTGGTAGTCATTAAGATTCAGGCAGCTGGAACAGCTACAAAAGT